ATACTATTTTGATACAGTTTAAAACTACATATTGCTGTAAAGTAGACTTAACACAAAAACGAAAAAACTTTCTTGAATAACAACACAAAATATGCACTCCAAAACAATAACAGTCTGGTGACACGGTTAGTTTTATCTACAGCGGTAGAAGGGGCACGTCATCCCCATCTCCAAACCACTGGTCGTCTGGATCTGGTAATAGAATTTCATCTTGCAGTTCCGGAATGTCCCGCATGGGGGCATGGACCTGCACTTCCACAACGTTTCTTATTTGGGCCAGTTCTTGCTGTTCCGGAATGTTCCGTACCGGGTCTTCCGGAATGTTCCGTACCGGGTCTTCCGGAATGTTCCGTACCGGGTCTTCCGGAATGTTCCTTTCCGGAGCGTTCTGTTCCGGACCCTGTACCTGCTGCTGAGGCTCTGGGTCCCGGGGTAGAGGATCGCCCAGAGCGTCTCGCAGCCGCCTCCAGAACAGCGGCCTTTTCCGCACGTCGTCTGGCCACATCAGGTACGTGTCCCTCTTTACTACGGCGTTCAGATGGCGGAACTGTTTCAGCATTTCGTTAGGAATCCTCTCCAGAAACACCAGGATGAGACGCACCCCTCCCCCCTCCTCAAACATGTGGTACTGGGCCAGCTGGAACTCGTACTCGCACCACTTACTCTTCAGGAAGTTCCTGGTGATGAGGCAGACGGTTCTCCGGCTGTTTTCCACGGCATCCGCGATGTTTTCCACAATGGGAGCGCCCACTGCAAAGTCCCTTTCGTGTATGACCAGACTGTAGTCAGGTTCCAGATTCTCTATCGCTTGATGTATAACCCAGCCGACGTCCCGGTTGTTGTAGGCAAGAAAAGCATCGTGCGTGTATCTGTGCGGCTCTTTGTTCTTTACTTCGCCAATCTTCGGTCTCCTCCACTTGTCCAACATCCACAGGTAGTACTGAACACGGCCGACGTGGTAGTCGACCAGGAAAATGGTCGTCATGGCGACGAAGATGCCAGAAGAGGCGAGCACACAAGCCAGAAGGCGGTTGGGCCGGAATCCATGACTACAGACTATGTCGAAAAACTTTCGTTCTGATGGATCCTGTCTGTTGTTAGAGTGTTGTATCTGCGTCAGCCCGTCTATCAATCGTCTTCCACGCAATCCAGCTGGACGGGAACATGTGTACCCTCGACCGACGTCAGGATAGGGGTTGTGGAAGTTCGCTACCCTGTCGTATTTATCCAGGGCACACTCAGCAAACCACATTAAGTTGCAGTCACACAGAAACGGGTTGTCTGCAATGTCGATAGTCTCTAACCAGGAGACAACAGGACCCAATGTTGTTTGATTTAACACAGCCAAACTGTTGCTCCTCAGATTTAGGTGTCTCAACCCGTACAGACGCTGAAAGGCGCCCCCAATCACTGCTATCCTGTTGGCTTCCAGGTTTAGATGTGCAAGGTTGCCTAAACCTTCAAATGTTGACTTAGTTATATTCTTTATCTTGTTGTTACTGAGATCCAGGAACTGTAGCCGCGATAGTCCACGGAAGGCGGATGGCATGACGGTGTTGATCTCGTTATGACTCAGATCCAAATGTTCCAGCTGGTCCGACCTTGTCAGTTGTCCTGTTTCGATACGGTGGATTTGGTTGTGAGAAAGAGTCAGCGTTTTCAATTTTCTCTTTATTTCTTCTGGGAATCCTTTTTGTATATCTGTTATACCGTTGTTATCCAACCTAAGTGTTTCTATGCCTGGTTGCCCACGAGTCATTGACTGATTAGCATAATCATAATCAGTCATTGACTGATTACCATAATCATAATCATAATTATAATCACAATTATAGTAAAAATGATCATTGAAAATATCATTGAGTTCATTGTTAGAAAGGTCGAGATACCGTAAACCCTCAATATAGCAGAGGTAAGAAAATGCATCTAGTCTGTTGTGCTGCAAATCAAGCACAGTGATATTCCGGGGGAAACAATCGACGGGAACATCTTCAATTTCATTATGACTCAAATTGAGATAATTCACACTTTTTAAACCACTGAAGTTAAATGATATAGCGTAGAAACATGAAGATTGACCCTTGTCTCTGTTGTTTAACTTATTGTGACTGAGATCAAGATAGTCCAAGGTCTCTGGAAGCTGAGCGTGGGAGGTTTCCAAGTCGTTCTGGCTCAAATCAAGATGAGTAAGCGAGGACAGTCCTTCAAACACGTATTGTGGTAAAGTAGAAATCCTGTTTTGTGTCAAGTTAAGATGAGTGAGCGAGGACAGTCCTTCAAACACGTATTGTGGTAAAGTAGGAATCACGCTTTGTGTCAAGTTGAGATGAGTGAGTGAGGACAGTCCGCTGAACGCCTTATCGTGTAAAGTTAACGTCTCGAAGGCGCCCTGCGTCAGATCCGGCCTTAGCAAATGTGACAAACCCGCAAAGGCGTTAGCTTCTATGGCGTTAAAATAGCCGAGGTGAAAAATCAAACTTTTCAAACTTTTCAGGCCATTTATTCCCGCAAGAGTATCAGATGTTAATTCGTCCGTTTCCGGTTCCAGCCCGGCTAATGACAACTCCTGAATCTGCGTGTGTCGGAGTTCAGGCAGAACGTCCATATTGGCGGGATGTGCAAAAGCGTCGAAGTCCAGCGTCTGCAGATGTGTGAGTGATTTCAGCAGGCCGGGAGCTATCCGAGCGAAAGTGCTTAAATGTTTCAGAGTCGGTAATAACGGCCGGCACAGTTGAGTATTCAGGGAAACGGAAGCTTGATATATTACTATAGTCTCTAATTTAGACATATTTATGAATACTGGTCCAAAGTAGAAGTCACTGACTCTTGGTAGATTGTTCAGAGTCAATCTTGTAAGGTTGTTCAGCGGTGCCCACAGCAGGCGTCGTTGTAAGAACCCACTTCCGCTGTGGACAATTCTCATGGTGGTATTTAGGTCCTCTTCTATGTCATCGATGAGTTCCGATATCTCTAGACTTTCCAATGAAGTCAAAGGATAAAAAGTATGATCGGGTAAATTGCTGATATTTTTCACGCCAAATACCAAAGTCCTGAGTTTAGATAATCCCGTGAACACTCCCTCACTGGCGACTCTATCGGTGTAAGTCCTCACGGCCAGATAGTTCAGGTTTCGCAGATCTTGAAATATTCTATTATGAAGAAGATACATTTGTGCATTTCTTCCTAAATAGGAATAACCAATATCTAGAACTTGTAATTTTACCAACCTTGCAAACGCACCGACCTCGATAGTCAGTATAGGATTATCAGACAGATCTAAGGATCTCAGGTTTCTTAACCCACTAAACGAGCCGTTATACAGTATAGTTATGTTGTTCTTACTGAGATCCATTATGATGACAGACTCGGGGATGCCGGGAGGTACTTGGGTTAGAGGCGCACGGGTTGGATGATACAGTCCATCCCCTTTACACACGACAGTTGTTGAGTTCCAGGTCTGACACACAGGTGGGGGGAGTTGTCCTCTAACCCGTCCATGTTGGGCGATGAACACGGAAACCACAGCCAAGCAGACGGCGAGAGGAGCGGGTTTAGACTCCATGTCGGTCTGGTGGGGTTTTTCTCAGGTTCGTCTCGTTGCGCGGACCGGTGGAGAGTATGATGTGAACACCTGCAGTTTTTGGTAAATAAGAGGAGAGGAGGCTTAGTTGTTGACATAATGTATGAGGGTGTACATACCAACATGTTTATTCTGTGTAACGCAAACTCTACCGTCTGCGGCTTTAGTGGCGGCTGGGTGTTAGGCGGGCGGCAACGGTGAAGCCATTTAATCAGGCTAAGGCCACACCGACTTAATTTTATGGATGACATCCTCTGAAGACCCCCAAACTAGTGCGCGCGGGCGAATAAAAAAAATTCCGGCGAAAAATAAAAATGCTACTAAACCACAGGAATACAAAGCTGGTATTGTGAATTCGCGACAGGACTTAGCGACGTATACGACAAGCCGGCTGGCGTTTTGCAGCATTATGAATCGGTACTGTACATACTTGAGTCGTGGAGCTTCGAATTCGATAGCCTTGGTGCTCGGCTCCGTGTTGTCGCTGACTACCATGGACTACCCGGGCCTAGAGCCAGGCCAGAGCCTCGGTGGAGGTGATCTTTTTTTTTAAAGGGCGACAGTCAAAAATCAATGCGCGCGCGGATGTCACCCATAAAATTAAATCAGTGTGGCCAGACGCCTAATACACATTCATTTAAAAAAAAAAAGCTGAACCTGACATTTTTCTGACCCGTTTATCTATGTATATGATCTGCGGCTTGCTCACAGGACAGACTCAGCCTTTCCTTGTTCCGTTCTGTCTGAAATGTATTCCCCAAGCCTGTCAAGCGTTTTGGGAAGTACGGTGGCCCATACGGACAAACTCGTCATCTGCGGAAATAGTTCCGTGGGCTACGCACAATCCTGCTTTGTTTGGCAAGTTATCTGTATGCACCATGTTAACTTAAGGTTAGGAATTTCTGATATGTATTTACAAACTATTTCCCACAAGTTAGATGTTGATTCTGGTAAGCTAAGATTCTACAAAAAATGTAAAACAGCATATTCTATGGAAAAATACCTGGACGTAGTTGATCTTAACATTCGCTCTACAATAAGTAAGTTACGCATTAGTGCACACCCTCTCGAAATTGAGAGAGGGTGGTATAAGAAGTTCCAAGTGTATGAACGAACTTGCAAACATTGTACGTTGAATACGGTGGAAGACGAAACACATTTTATCTCAAATTGTACCCTCTATAGCAATAAACGAAGTGAACTCGACGTAGCCTCCAAATTCTACCCCAACTTTACACATATACAAATGAAAACTACTCTCCTCTTAACATCCCCAAAACCCACAAATTACAGAAAAAGTGGGATCCTTAAGCTTTGTCTTCCTCCGAAGCTCTGGCCTGGCTCTAGGCCTGGGTAGTCCATGCTATTTAGCGACAATAGGTAGCCGGCGATAACTCATAATGGCGGCACCCGAAGCTCCAGATCAAAGTACATACATGTACGTACACTGCCGATTCAAAACTTCGCAAAAAGCCAGCATAAGCCGGCTTGTCGTATACGTCGCAAATTCACAATACCAGCTTTGTATTCCTGTGGTATAGTAGCATTTTTATTTTTGGTCGGAATTTTTTTATTCGCCCGCGAGCACTAGTTTGGGGGTCTTCAGACGATGCCATCCATAAAATTAAGGCGGTGTGGCCTAACCATACAACATTGTTCTAAAAGTAAAGAGAATGCAAAATAGCTTAAGGAACCCCTGCCATAAGCCAGAAGGGTTAGGATTAAAGAATCCATCAATCATTCTATAACGCCACAGCTGTATCTGACAAGGTATATATTTCCTCCAAATAGCTGGACTTTCAGACATCTTTTCAGAGCGATTATAGAGTGAGACTATACCGCCTTGGTATAGTACTCTCCAAGCAGAGGTTTGGGTTTGGGGCTATGTTTAGCGTGTTTTTATTACCTTCGCCAAGAAGGTTATGTTTTCAGTAGCGTTTGTCTGTGTGTGTGTGTGTGTGTGTGTGTGTGTGTGTGTGTGTGTGTGGTTTTAGCAAGATAACTCGAGAAGCAGTGGATGGATTGGAATGAAACTTGGTAGGTGGGTCGGTCTTCATGAGACCTAGAAATGATTAGATTTTGGGCCCCCTTGCGGCTTTCCTAGGCACTGCAGCTGAACTTCCGGTTTTGATATCTCATGTTCTGGACATGCTAGGGTCATGAATTTTGGTTGGTAGATAGCTCTTGGGGTAGGGAAGAAGTGACATGAGTTTGGGTCCCCTAGCGCCTTGTTATGGAACTGCAGGAGCATTTGTTGAAAAAATTTGAAGGACGATAACTCAAGAACCGGTTGACGTATTGTCGTGATTTTTGGTATGTAGGTAGTTGAAGTGATGCTTGACATGATCAGATGACAATTATGCAAATCAGGAGCTAATTTGCATAATTAATGAGGAAATTCTATAAATCTGCTTTGTTCGATAATAGAAGTATGAAACACTTGTGACATCACTTGTGAGAACGAGAAAAAACATCTGAGGATATAGATTATGTAAATGAGGATGTGCATAAAAAATGCATAAAAAATGGCAAATTTTTATTATTTCATAGTTGTAACTGCTAGGAATTTCATACTTGCCACATTTGGAAGTTGAGTGAAGATGAACATCAAAACAAACATAATTTATTCAAATCATTTGCATAATTTATGAGGAAGTGCTATAATAGCATTTTTGTTAAGATAAGGCTGTCTTGGGTGGAGAATATGATCAACTGATACAATCCATGCAAATGGGGCTCTTACTTACAAAATCAATGATTAAAATTGTATCATTTGTCAACCACAAGGGTTAACATCATTTGGCGAAGGTATGAGATCGTGGAACTCTTGTTTCACACGAATGAGAAGAAAGTTAAAAACCCACCTTCACAGCAAGATGTCTGTGAGAAGAGCTGGGCCGGCGGTGGGGGAGGGGGGCAGGCGCGGAAGAGTCCGTTCGTCGTCTGAAACAACGGCGTCAGGTCCTACACCACCGGCAGCGTCCAACGCTCTTTACACGGCCAACAAGACCCCGGAGGTAACTACACTTGATCGAGATCTCACACGACTTCAGCTCGGACCGGGCGGCGTGGTGCACACCTCCTCTACCACTGTGCCGACCGATCTGGGGGCCGACGACATCACTCTGGACCAACTACGGAAAAACCTGCCACTACAACGCGCTGTGGACTTCAAGTTTCCCCAACTGTCGACATCGGTGGGCAAACCGGCTCAGAAAGGCAAGAAAACATTCCTTTCACCCGAAACGTTCGCAACAGACACTTCGCCGGTTGACGCTCCAAGTCCAAGTTTGGCTGATTTCCGTCAGTAGCATCACACCGTGCGGACATCTGGTCTTCCCAATCACCAAGGTGTCAAAATAGCGCCAACTAAACTTCACGTCTCTGCCTGGCGCCACCTTCTAGACGGCTACCATGACAACACCCTGTGTGATCTGATAGAGTATGGTTTTCCCATCAATTATATCAATTATGTGTCTGCCACCCGGCCAACCGTCCCCAAGACTAATCATCCTTCCGCTCTCAGATCATGTAAACACTCACATACGGACAGAATTAGCTCACGGCGCCACCATAGGTGATTTCCGGCCACCCTCTCTGCCCCAGACAAGCCTATAGCTAGGTTCACATGTGCTCCATCATCCGCGCTCCACCGACCGCGCCAGCTTTCCTGGTTCCGAGCACGACACACGGACTGGTGGTCTCTCTCACCCACGACTCGCTGGTAAAACACCTCAAAACAATCCTCACCGCCGCCGGCCTCTCGGCCGCCCAATACTCAGGGCACAGCTCTCGCCGAGGCGGTGCCACCTTTGCTTGGCGCTGTGGCGCTGAACCCCAACTCATAAAGCTTCTCGGGGATTGGTCCTCAGACGCTTTCGAGGTTTACCTCGACTCCTCTTTCTCTCAACGGAAAACCTTCAGTCATCTCCTTTCCCAAAAAATCAAACTGGGTCTCACAGATCTGTCCGACAACCCCTCCCCCCCCCGGGTCGTAAGACTTTTCCGCAGGTTACAGATACCTAGTATAGTTATTTTGCCCCGTTGGGCATCTTGTTTCTTAGAAGTTATTAGTCGACTTTCATTTCTATGTAACGTACAATAGTTAACACCTAGGTTCAGTTTGTTATTAAACCAGTTTACTTTCCTGGCGGCTCCTAATCGTCACTTATATTATGTTAAAGTAGTTAGCACTTAGGTTAAGTTTTGTTAACCAGTTCCCTAGCGCCTACTGATCGTCACTCTGTCATGTAACGTACAGTAGTTAGCACTTAGGTTCAGTTTGTTAGGCAGTCCCTGGCGTCTCCTAATTGCGATTTATCTACATGTCTTAACGTTTTTATTTAGGTCATGCATTCAGTACCTTGTCAGTTCGTTAGACCAGGCTGGTCCCCTCTCTCTTCTCTGCACTCTCCCACTCCTTGCCTACCAGTTCACACACTCTACGGGCTTGGTTCTTTGTGTTTTTTTTTAATCAGTTCTCACCTGAATAAATTATCTACCAAGCCCATCACTCTGTTTTCCTTGTATGCATGGGAGAGAGAGTAATTATGGATACAGGCGGCCAACAGAAAGTCCCCTCGCCCCACCGGATGTGCTTGGAGATTACCTAACCCTGCGAAAATACTCAAATACGTCACTTGAGGAAATAATTCCGTGAAATGCAAGCCCGATCCTGCCTTGTTTTATAGCAAGATATCATTTTGCCCTGAGTCATACAATACACAGCATTTGAAATCTTAAGTTGTGTGTTTTGGTATGAATATTTGTCAAAATTTGAAATCTTGAAAACTAATTGAGGGTTCATACTATGGCAGCCCACCACAGAGCACTGAAGCCGACTGTAGGTGGGCGGTAGTAGCCATGGGAGTCGACTGGGCGCCGGGCCAACACAGCACAGCATTTATAACTGTTACAGTACATAGTAACGTTACATGGCCAAAGATACTGCCTTGTTCAGCAACTTCTTATTTCGTCCTGAGACATACTATGGCGGTAGTAGCCATGGGAGGCGACTGGGCGCCGGGCCAACACAGCACAGCATTTATAACAGTGCATAGTAACGTTACATGGCCAAAGATACTGCCTTGTTCAGCAACTTCTTATTTCGTCCTGAGTCATACTATGGCGGTAGTAGCCATGGGAGGCGACTGGGATCCGGGCCAACACAACACAGCATTTATAACAGTGCATAGTAACGTTACATGTGCTTTATGTGTGCTTTATTAAACTCCATTAGCGACACACAAGACATTGGTACAAAATCAAGTATGTAGCTAATCTTCCTGGAGTTTGGCCAAAGATACTGCATTGTTCAGCAACTTCTTATTTCGTCCTGAGTCATACTATGGCGGTAGTAGCCATGGGAGGCGACTGGGCGCCGGGCCAACACAGCACAACATTTATAACAGTGCATAGTAACGTTACATGGCCAAAGATACAAGGGGGCCCACAAGCTCTTTTCCGTAGAGCGTAATCGGCCGTTTTAATTCTACGCAGAGCGTAGAAGAACCGCTCTAATTCAACTTAGAGCGTAATTGGCGCATTTTGCGTAGAGCGTATTCGCCGTTTTAATTCCACGTAATGCGTTGTAGCCACTTGGAATTTATCGTAAAGCGTAATCGGGAGGTTTCCGAATTAAGCGTAGAGCGTTGTCGGGACCCCCCCCCCTTCAAGGCCCTGTTACAACAGTACAATCATGTTTCTACGATTCTAACCACGGTGTTAACGGATACCGTTTCAATCTTACGGTCAAAGTCATTACTTCATATCACACGACAAAGAACTATCAGTTGACATCACACCGAATTCAAAATTGTTCATGAAACTTTTATTGATACACTTATTAAAAATGTAGTAATGTACAAAAAAATGTACAAAAAAATCACCAACTTACCATCATTAGCCAAAACTACATAGTGCTGTACAATGTATATCTACACATACACATAACAGCGTTACCAATTTAACAAAGGCATTCATATACATATAATTAAGTGTAGTCAACATTATCAGACAAGCTTAATACAATCTCATGCCTGAATAAGACTTTCAAGTACAAGTGATATGAAAAAATATGGTGGTAAACAAATAAATTTAAAATTACTATAATGCACAAGAGAATTCTAAAACGTACTATCTGATCCAGTTAGTTTAAAACTACATATTGCTGTACAGTAGGCTTTGCACAAAAGACATACAATTTTCTTGAATAACAACACAAAATATGCACTCCAAAACAATAACAGTCTGGTGACACGGTAAGTTTTATCTACAGCGGTAGAAGGGGCACGTCATCCCCATCTCCGAACCACTGGTCGTCTGGATCTGGTAATAGAATGTCATCTTGCAGTTCCGGAATGTCCCGCACGGGGGCATGGACCTGCACTTCCACAATGTCCCTTACTGGAGCCTGTTCTTGCTGCTCCGGAATGTTCCGTTCCAGAACACGTGCCTGCTCTTCCGGAATGTTCCGTTCCGGAGCGTTCTGTTCCGGACCCTGTGCCTGCTGCTGAGGCTCTGGGTCCCGGGGTAGAGGATCACCCAGAGCGTCTCGCAGCCGCCTCCAGAACAGCGGCCTTTTCCGCACGTCGTCTGGCCACGTCAGGTATGTGTCCCTCTTTACTACGGCGTTCAGATGGTTGAACTGTTTCAGCATTTCGTTAGGAATCCTCTCCAGAAACACCAGGATGAGACGCACCCCTCCCCCCTCCTCAAACATGTGGTACTGGGCCAGCTGGAACTCGTACTCGCACCACTTACTCTTCAGGAAGTTCCTGGTGATGAGGCAGACGGTTCTCCGGCTGTTTTCCACGGCATCCGCGATGTTTTCCACAATGGGAGCGCCCACTGCAAAGTCCCTTTCGTGTATGACCAGACTGTAGTCAGGCTCCAGATTCTCTATCGCTTGATGTATAACCCACCAGACGTCCCGGTTGTTGTAGGCAAGAAAAGCATCGTGCGTGTATCTGTGCGGCTCTTGATTCTTGACTTCGCCAATCTTCGGTCTCCTCCACTTGTCCAACATCCACAGCAAGTACTGAACACGGCCGACGTGGTAGTCGACCAGGAAAATGGTCGTCATGGCGACGAAGATGCCCGAAGAGGCGAGCACACAAGCCAGGAGGCGGTTGGGCCGGAATCCATGACTACAGACTGTGTCGAAGAACTTTCGTTCTGATGGATCCTGCCTGTCGTTAGATTTTTGTTTCTGCGTCAGCCCGTCTATCAAACGTCTTCCACGCAATCCAGCTGGACGGGAACATGTGTACCCTCGACCAAAGTCAGGATAGGGGTTGTGGAAGTTCGCTACCCTGTCGTATTTATCCAGGGCCCACTCGACAAACCACATTGAATTACAGTCACACAGAAACGGATTGTCTGCAATGTCGATAGTCTCTAACCGGTGGACAACAGGACCCAGTGTTGTTTGATTTAACACAGCCAAACTGTTGCTCCTCAGATTCAGGTGTCTCAACCCGTACAGACGCTTAAAGGCGTCCCCAATCACTGGTATCCTGTTGGCTTCCAGGTTTAGATGTGTAAGGTTGCCTAAACCTTCAAATGTTGTCTTAGTTATATTCTTTATCTTGTTGTTACTGAGATCCAGGAACTGTAGCCGCGATAGTCCACGGAAGGCGGATGGCATGACGGTGTTGATCTCGTTATGACTGAGATCCAAATGTTCCAGCTGGTCCGACCATGTCAGTTGTCCTGTTTCGATACGGTGGATTTGGTTGTGAGAAAGAGTCAGCGTTTTCAAGCTTCTCCTTATTGCTGGTAACCCTTCTCCTATTTCTGTTATACCGTTGTTATCCAGCTTAAGTGTTTCTATGCCTGGTTGCCAACAAATAGTAAAATCACTATAAAACTCGAAAAAATCATCGAGTTCATTGTTAGAAAGGTCGAGATACCGTAAACCCTCAATATTGCAGAGGGCAAGGAATCTTTCCAGTCTGTTGTGTTGCAAATCAAGCACAGTGATATTCCGGGGGAAACAAGTCATGGGAACTAGGTCAATTTCATTATGACTCAAATTCAGATGATTCACCCATTTTAAACTGCCGAAGTTAAATGATATAGAGGAGTTACATGGTTGACCTGTGACTCCGTATAACTTATTGTGACTGAGATCAAGATAGTCCAAGGTCTCTGGAAGCTGAGCTTGGGAGGTCTGCAACTCGTTCTGGCTCAAATCAAGATGAGTGAGCGATGACAGTCCTTCAAACACGTATTGTGGTAAAGTAGAAATCCAGCTTTGTGTCAAGTTGAGATGAGTGACTGAGGACAGTCCGCTGAACGCCTTGTCGTGTAAAGTCTCGAGGGTGACCCGCGTCAGATCCAGTCTGTGCAAATGTGACAAACCCGCAAAGGCGTTAGCTTCTATGGTGACCAAATCGCTGTCGGACTTGAAAATCAAAGTTTTCAAACTTTTCAGGCCTTTTATTCCCGCAAGAGTATCAGATGATAATTTCTGCGTTTCCAGTTCCATGTTGAAAAATGACAACTCCTGAATCTGCGTGTGTCGGAGTTCAGGCAGAACGTCCAAAATGGTGAAATACGGATATGAAGCACGGTTGTCGAAGTCCAGCGTCTGCAGATGTGTGAGTGACTTCAGCAGACCGGGGGATATCCGAGCGCCAGTGCGTAAATGTTTCACAGTCGGTAATAACGGCCGGAACATTTGTGCATTGAGGGAAACGTCAGTTTGATATATTTCTATAGTCTCTAATCTAGACATATTTGTAAATACAGGTCCAAAGTAGAAGTCACTGGCGCTAGGTAGCCTGAAATCGATGATCTCGAGTCTCAACGTTTTAAGGTTGTTCAGCGGTGCCCACAGCAGGCGTCGTTGTAAGAACCCACTTCCGCTGTGGACTAGGTCATCTTCTATGTAATCGCCGACTATCTCTAGACTTTCCAATGAAGTCAAAGGATCAAAAATATGATCGGGTAAATTGCTGATATTCATCACGAGTCGTAAATGCCTGAGTTTAGATAACCCCGTGAACACGCCCTCACTGGCGACTGTATCGGTGTAAGTCTCCACGGCCAGATAGTTCAGGTTTCGCAGATCTTGGAACATTCCATTATGAAGAAGATACATTGGTTGAGAATCATAAATATCTAGACGTTGTAATTTTTCCAACCTTGCAAACGCACCGGCCTCGATAGTCTGTATAGGATTATCAGACAGGTCTAAGGATCTCAGGTTTCTTAACCCACTAAACGAGCCGTTATACAGTATAGTTATGTTGTTCTCACTGAGATCCACCGTGATGACAGACTCGGGGATGCCGGGAGGTACTTGGGTTAGAGGCGCATGGGTAATTGGATGATACAAGTCATCATCCCATTTACACACGACAGTTGTTGAGTTCCAGGTCTGACACACAGGTGGGGAGAGTTGTCCTCTAACCCGTCCATGTTGGGCGATGAACACGGAAACCACAGCCAAGCAGACGGCGAGAGGAGCGGGTTTAGACTCCATGTCGGTCCATGTGCGATAGGCCACTGTCAATTTTTGTTGAGATCGCTGTTACTTTATTTATATGATACTGAGATATTAACTGAACAACAAGATCACTGTGCAGTCCGTACAAGATTTCTGAGAATCATACACATAACACCATAAACTCGGTCCGTTGAAAGATTCCAGAGAGTCAAACACTCGACACATAACACCGTGAACACTGTCCGTTGAAAGATTCTGGAGTCATACACTCAACACAACACACCGTGAACTCGGTCCGTTGAAAGGTTCCCGAGAGTACACTCAACACATTAAACACCGTGAAAAGGGTCCGTTGAAAGATTCCGGATATGCATACACTCAACACATAACACCGTGAACTCGGTCCGTTGAAAGATTCCGGATATTCATACACTCAACACATAACACCGTGAACTCGGTCCGTTGAAAGATTCCCGAAAATCATACACTCAACACATAACACGGTGAACACTGTCCGTTGAAAGATTCCGGATAGCCATACACTGAACACATAACACCGTGAACTCGGTCCGTTGAAAGATTCCCGAGAGTCATACATTCAACACAACACACCGTGAACAGGGTCCGTTGAAAGATACCGGAGAATCATACACTCAACACTTAACACCGTGAACTCGGTCCGTTGAAAGATTCCCTAGAATTCCCCATTCAATGAACCATGCATATATAACACTTACTGGGTACTTGGGCCGCTGAATCATACAATAAAAAGCACAATTTACTCAGCTGTGACTTCCTTATCGGCGTTCAGGGTTTAGGAGATAGTTGGCGCAAAGGCCGACGGGAGTATGGTAGAACCGGTTTTGCAGGTGAACGTCACGCGAACAAGCAGCACTGCTGACACGTGAACACCACGTGAAAAACTAGCTACAGACACGTGATGACCACCTGCAAGTTCGTCTGCCACAAGCCCTTTTTCCGTAGAGCGTAATCGCCCGTTTTAATTCTACGTAGAGCGTAGACGGACCGCTCTAATTCAACGTATAGTAGAGCGCAATTGACGCATTTTGCGTAGAGCGTAATTCGCCGTTTTAATTCTACGTATTGCGTTGTGGCCACTTGGAATTTATCGTAATCTCTTCAGTTACAAACAAGCTTTCACTGCTTTGACGTTTCAGATCCATTGCGATGGCTAAAAACAAAATACTCACCAATAAAAATACACTTTCATACAGTCCTTTAGTTTTTGACTTGGTACTCTTTTAGGGTACACTCGGGGTAATACATGAATGCCTTTAATACTCGAACGCGTTCGCAAAATCGCTGCTATAATCGACAGAATCGCAAGGGGGCTATCGATGATAACTTCAAAGACACTTCAAAAACATGACAGGGTGCGAAATGCCATTTCAAAAGACCCTATTTTCTGCGAAATGCCACAAGGAAAATAAAATTCTCGATACCATCTATAATTTAGGGGTAACTAACTAGCCATGAAAACTTTTTTGGGGTACGATACCATATTTTAAAGAAGATATGAAGCATTTTGTAAAGTCCTATTTCTGGCGAACTGAACGTTACCCTTTATACTGGCCGCTAATGTCGCTGCTGCACAAAGCAATGACATCACCTCTAGCCAATCAGACGCACGATAGGCCCACATTTCCCGCCACGGTTCGAAAATGGAAACAGGCTTTCAAATCAAACGTTCACCGCCATCTCTTGACACAGTCACGTTTCTCTCATATTTCTAGTTCAATGCCGAGAAGTGGTCGCATAGGCCTTGCATGCATTGAACCACTCCGTTAAAAAAAAAAAAAATAACCAAGCTAAAGCGTTCGAAAGTCGCCGTTCGGCTCTCGGCAATCTTCGGGAGACTTCGGTATATGTTCGTATGGTTCTTTGGAATCCTCGTCAGGTTGTAGACCGAGTTCACAGTGTGTGCTCGTGTTGAGTGTATGATTCTCGGGAATCTTTCAACGGACCATATATAAGGAGTAAACGATCTTCCACCATCAACCTCTGCTTGGAGAGTAATCCCATAGACCATAACAGGTGGTCACAATTTTTAAAAACATCTCAGAACTGCAGGAGTCCCTGTCATCACACGTTCTATATAATCTCTACCAGACTAACTATGCTGGCTATATATAAAGGAGAATGTTTGCCAGGGGAGTTTGACCGCCTTGTAGGTTTGACTGGCCGCGCAGGGAAAGAAACTACCTCCCCGCGACCGGACTCCCTTGGCCCATTTTATTCTTTTTTTTTTGCCGAATCGTACAATCCAATCCGTATTCCCGTAGCCTCTACCAGGCTCCGGGAGACGGCTGAAAGGAGTAGAAATCGGTCAAATAGAGAGATAATATGCCGAGGGAGTTGGTCTGATGGAAAGGACATTAACTCCCTCGGCGTGTTATCTCTCTATTTGACCGATTTCTACTCTTTTCAGCCGTCTCCCGGAGCCTGGTAGAGGCTACTCAGGACTGTTGGCGTCCCCTGTATTGTAACCACGCGTTCTATAAGCCACATTCTAGGCTGAAATTCCTGGCACAGTCATACATGTGTAAGCAACCTTCAAGACACCATACCATATACGTAATCTCCAAGCAGATCATACGGTGGCAAAGCAGTGTCCATTGGCCAGGAGTGTCTATATACCCTACTACTTAGCACTAGACAGTCCTCTGGCAAATGGATACTGCTTTATACTCTCCAAGCAGAGGTTGTGGGGGAATGATCGTTACCTTTTTATATATGGCCGTTTTTTTTTGTCCTGACCCCCACCAACCCGTCGGTGGCCGGCGACCTTCTCTGGCTAATGGATACTGCCTGGCCAATTTGATACTGTCTTTTTACCACCGAGAGGGATCTGCTTGGAGATTAACTGCTATAGCCTGTGGTACCCAAGCGCCGGGGGGCTCCCTACATAGTTTTGTGTAGCGGACTAACTAGGGAGCCGGCGAAAAGCGAGCTAGGTACTGCTAGTGCCACGGTAACGATCTATATCATCAATCAATCAATCAATCAAAAATGGTTTATTGTTAAAATCACGAACATTGCAGCAGAAGCTGAATTGCGTTCAGAGATGTACTATCCAATAGACCGTAACAGGTGGTCACCCTTTTCACAAACATATCAGGACTGCTGGCTAATCTCCAAGCAGATCCCTTTCGGTGGCAAAAAGAAAACGATCATTCCCCCACAACCTCTGCTTGGAGAGTATGCTGGCGTCCCTGTATTATAATCTGTCCATCGTGGATGGGTGGAAAAATAGAAATTGGCCGAAATAAAGGGATAGTATACCAGAGAAGATCCAGCCGGCCAAAGAAGATCCGTGGGTCGCGAATTGGAGCTTCTATGGCCCTGGATCTTCTATGGTATACTATCCCTTTATTTCGACCAATTTCTACTATTTTTCCAGCTAGCGATCCGCGGTGCCTGGTAGAGGCTAGGAGTCCCTGCATTCACGCGTTCTATAGTCCACATTCCAGGCCGGAATTCCAGCCTCCCCATCCGCCGTGCGTTCAGCGTGCCCTTTGCGCTGAATTCCCGCGGCATTTCGGCGCAGAATGGTGGGTGGGATTGGGGCGGGCCGACCCGTCCGAAAATAGCGCGCGTCCCCGGGACCCCCTTTCTCCACACATTCCAGCCTCCGGCTCCTTTCTTCGTGCGGATATTTTTAGCCCATTGTGTTGGGTACACAGTAGCGGACAGACCGGGGCTTTTGTTCGGGCGACAGTGCACGGGGACCCCGCCGCGCTCCGGGCGGAGGGACGCTGCCATTGTCGGGCCGGGCCTGCGTCATCGCCGCTCAACTGTGGCGGGCCGGCGGGTACTATTGTCGGGCCGGGTTAGCCTCTACCAGGCATCTGGAGGCGGCTGGGAAGAGTAAAATAAATGGACAATTATAGCAAGAAGCTTTCATGTCCTTGGTTATCTCTCTATAATCAAGGACATTCTACTGATGAAAGCTTCTTGAGATAACCTATTCTCCAAGCAGAGGTTTGGTTGTTG